AACGGATGGTCTGCCAAGATAGTTTGCTTGCCCTCTCGAGATCGAAATTCGACTCTGAAATTTTTTCAAGAATCATCTTTCGCTGGAAACTGCTTTCGCTGTCGCTATGCGTGAATCCTCGTACAACATTCGAGTTGAAGGTTCTTTTCTTACACGCCATCTCTTCAATGCAGCATTCTCGCTTGTAACCAGTTAAACCTCTGAGTTTCACCAGTCAGTTCGTTTCCGACCTCCAGGCGTCAACTCAACCTATTTTAAACCGCAGTAGTTCGGAGGCAGCCTTAAAAATCTTCTACTCGATTTCCACATCACCGTCCATCACTTGGATCGGTTCAAACAGTCGCGCGATGTTGCTTGCAAATTTTGCTCTCTTTTCTGCAAAAGGTTGTTTCTCATGTGATTACCTGGTTCCTTCTGCTGACAGGTCTTCACAGAGTACCTTATCGTTTGCTACGAAGGGTGTCAACAACAATCAGATGATTGCTTGACAGCTCTACGCCTGTCTTAAGGCGTGCGTCATAAGTGAAATGATACAAGTATCAAATCGATTATAGACTTATAGTCATGGCTGTACTGATTCCTACATATGGTATACGGATGCAAGTCTTAATAATTGAAGAGGGTATCCATAATAAGTAATCAGCTGTTTCTGCAAAACCTCAAATATGACGTTACTTCTGAAGTAACTACAGCAGTTCTTTCAAATCACCCTCTGCTCCCTCCAGTGACTACTCTAACCAACGCATTGTGATGCTTTGCTTATTGTTGGTAGCAATAGTTGTTGCACACGCTAATAAACCTGGCATAAAATCACACCTCAGAATGATGGATTGTTTAGTCGGCACTTCGTGCACAGCACCTATTACTTCCGCCAAGAATGGCTCATATTTTCCTTTGCACTGGTGCATAGACCTGTAGCAGGATATCTTTATCGTGTTATAATTTCAGTCTGATGATGCAACGTTTCCAATGACCGGCCCACATTCAAAGATTCTCTCAGCTAGTTTTGATTCTACCAGAACAACAACATCAACCAGAGCGCGGGTCACGGAATCTATTCCTCAGTAGAAGAGTCCCCGCCCTCAGCGGTTCAAAATCCCCGTGCAATGAAGCTTCAAGAGAGTCTAACGATATCCAGTTGGTCTTATGCGGGATTATCAAACAGTTCCTATTCTTTTCCTCTGAGTTAAATGTTTCAATTTCTGGCCATAAGTTTCCTATGTTGGTATGGATCCCGTGGAGCTGTATTTAACGTACAGCAATGGTATCTCACTTTTTGCTTCCTTGGTTTAGAACTAGTAGCAACTAAAGCTGCTGATTCGCCTTACAATCTACCGGGCACTCTTCATCCGCCCCATTTTATGTACTTAATACTGTTCACCAGCGCAAACAAGTCATGAACACAAGATATCTCTGTACAATTTGTATTCTGCAAAAGATTTAAAATGACCAGTCTGAATCAAAGCCTAAATTGTCCCCCTTCCTGGTCGTGTGCACTGGTTTGCTAATCGGCTTCCAGATGTTGGCCATTTCTTCTGATCGTCCTTTCACAGAAACGACATTTTATGAGAGGGGCGGTGACACTGGCAAACCATTGATGGCTCACCCTCCCTCAGTGTGAGTGACACAACCGTACCTCTGGTCGGTGATGGCGCCTCTACATACTGGTCAGACAGAATTACCCGTTATAATTTCGGGAAGCAACACCATGGCCAGATGGACATTCGAGGCCGTCACACTACAGCAACGAAGAAAACCGTACTTAAGGTCATCAGAGCCACCGAAATGCCATATGTGGTACAGTGATGTTTCAGAGAAGTGGATCCACTCGCACACCTTCCAAGCATAACCGCAAAGCACTAGTGCAAGCTCGTAGCAAGCGACTACGATTGAAAAAATCTCTTTATCACTCAATTCAAACAGTTTTATAAACTGCTTTGTACTTTTCTCACGTTGGATGCTAGTCGCATATTTTCGTAGCCATTAAAATAAATATTTTAACTTTATTCGAATAACGCGCGACTCTTTCATCATTAGGTTTTTATGGCATGTGGTATCGCCTCCTTGCTCCCAGTTGCCTGGAGGGGTGGGGTGGGGGAATTTAAGCAGGCCAGGGCTACAGGGTATTTGAGTATCTGCAGTAACAGACGCGTCTGGCGTCATTTTGCTCGTCAAAGTCATCATTATGAATGATGTTTCATGAGCTTGTATTCCTCGTTACGCCACATAAACATTATAAAGCCATTGTTAGGACAAATTCAGTCAAATAACAGTCGAACTTTTGCTTATGAGATAGCACATAAGGAGTAACAGCCTCTGCACCATCGGTGACTCTAGCAAACATACCGATGCGGAATCCATCTGACGAGGCAAGTTCTCAGGTGGCAAGAAGACGTGGCATTCTTAAATGCTCCCTGGGCAACTACGCGCAAGGCACACGGCAACATGCCGCGAAGTCTGGTCTTGGACGAGTCATTCGTTATTTTACATATTTCAGCGTACGAACAAACATACGAACAAATGCTGGAACTGAATTCGAATCGATTGATTTTGATTATGGCGAAAGTCATGGATTTGAGGTGCGATATTTAAATACCTGCGCATTTTTCTGTTGAACTGTAAGACATATAGCAAAGCAATTGCAATATTTATTTCGAAAGAAATGTGACAAAACAAATCATGAATTAATTAATAATTACGCTAACAAAAACCTCACTTTCGTGCAACTTCATAATTTTTCACAAACCACGAAACGGTCGCTTTTATCCCTTCGCTCAATGGCGTGAATTTTAGGTCTGGTAGATAGGAGCGCAGCTTTTGGTTGGACAGTGGTCTTTTTTGCTGACCATCGCCCTTGGTCGAATCAAAAACAATGCTCCCTTTGAATTCCATCAGTTCAGAAATGATTTGCGCCACCTTCTTAACGCTCACCGCTTCCTGTTCGTTCACGGACAGAATGATCGGCGACGATTGGCCATAATCGAAGAGAGCCCAGATTAGCAGGCGGGCAGCGTCGATCGAAAACAGAAACTGACGAATTGGTTCGCCTGTACCATAGACCGTGAAGGGAGTATCTGAAAAAGAATAAACAATTTTTGTTACAACATTATTTTACCTAAAAGAGAACCTTGACAGAAGACATCTGAATTCACCGATGGCTCAAATTACTTTAGTGTCAAGAGGAGAAGGCAATGAGTGCACTGCTGAGTCATATAAAAGCAAAAAGGACTGAAGTCCATCAAGTTACAAGAACCGTATCAGTGTGCCAAGAATTCGGAATTCGAAAACGGTATGACAGCCAGGCATTCGCAACGGGTGAGCAGTCGGCAGATTTCTTCATATTTTGAGGAAAATTTCAACATTTTGGGATTTGGCAATGTTAAGAAGTCTGTCATAGCTAGCTCCACGATGTAATACAGTCAAGGAAAATAAGCTGGGTTTGTTTGGCTACCTCTAGCATATGGTCACAATCACACAATCGACGTCAATTGCAACTTTACCTAAAGATTAAGCATCATTTACTGCACACATTGACTGTGCCCGTTCCAACCTTTGAACTTATAAATAACGCATTAATTCCAATTACTGGTCATAAAACGGACGAGTAATAGTTTCATAACCCAGACAGAACTGAACCAGCAAATTTGCTTTCCTTTGTAGGACGCTGTAAGACAGTTCTAAGTTTAATGTTAACTGCTTGAACATAATCGCTAAAGAACCTGGATTTAAGGCATAAACAATAAAGTAAAAGGACGTACCAAATATGGAATAAATCATAGTTATGGCCATATGCGATTGATTGCCGTCCTAATTTTTCAAAGATGACAATTAAGAACAGTTAGAGGGGTTTCGACGCAGGAAGTGTCACTCAGATTGACGATTGGACAGCCTCGTATCACCGTGTTTCAACGGTACCACATAGTTATGAAAGAAGATAAAATCTCACAGAAGCTGTGGAACATGCCAGATCGGAAGAAATATCTGCCTTCCAAAACGGAAAAAGACGGTGCAGGTGAAGATGTAAGTTACCGTCTTTAATTCTAGCCCATGCGTACCGGTATGAACTGAAACTGATTCGCTGTTCAGTCCAAGGCAGTAAAATTTCGCTCTGATCAATTAATGGTCAGTTATTGACCACTTATTAACTGTCTAAATGACCTGCAGAGTTTGACCTATATGGCAGATTATTAGTGATTCATTAATCGGCCAGCATAACGAACCTGTTTCGGAATCTAAAGCCTTTACATGTGAAAAGTCGTCTGGCCTAGCTGATGTTTCTGTCAAGCTCTATCTGCATGAACGTAGTTTATTTATTACGGCCGTACAACGAATTATGAAATTTAACATTAACGGATTTTTCAACTGCAGGAACTAAAAACAAAAAAACCACCGGAAATGAAATTTACTCACTCAGTACAGCAAGACATCGGCTGTTGCACAAAACAGTTTCAGGTAAGACATTTTCATCTCTTGTTTAAACGAGAATGTTACGCGAAAGCGAAGTGAAGCCAGCGCTTAAAATTTGTGTCAATGCACGTAATCCGGAAAAGAAACGGAAATTCGGCCACGTCAGCAATGAAAATCTAATATTTGGTGGCTTGAAATTAGCTGTATTAAAATGATATATTATTGCGGTATTTAAATGTAAACATTTTTATACCTGATACGCACTCAGTTATTACATTAAGCACTTTACGCTTTATCCTATTATTTTAGAAGCAATAAAAATTTTAACTGAAAAGTTTTACGACGGTTTTGTTTCAGAAACAAATATTTCGCAGTCTAAAAACATAACGTAGCAATAAGTCATTATTATCTAAATCCATAAGTCATCAGAAATAGCTTGTTAAAACTTTTTTACATTGCGGCAGAAATTTAACAGAAATCCTAGCCGAGAGGGGCGACTTTTCAAGTGCGAAATTCTCGATTGCATAACTTCCATAGTTAAGCTGACTTGATTGCTTATCCACTATCAGTTTGACCAGTAAGTCAAGTGCTGTTCGTTAATTATCCAAAAACTCTTCATTAAGCTTCACAGATAAAAGTTACCGTTTTGGACTGAATAATGAATTAGCTTCAATCTCATACCGCCATGAACGGATTATCAGTCTGAATGGTTATATATTTGATAATCCGCATAATATATATTCGTGTTCCAAAATCCAAAGCAATAGTCACTATAAAAGTGAATCAAAGTATAGAAATTCTGGATGTGGTAGAAGATGCTATTAGGGAAATAATGATGTGGGATGGAAATACAAACTGTGTTGGGCAATTAACAAATGAATTTAATGGACATCCGACCGCCATCGCAACTTACTGTTCAGCTTAGCCAAATAGCATCTGTGAATCAACCCGGAAACGACGTGGGCAGATGTAAGATCGAAATTGTCCCCCGGACCGTAAACATTGCAACAGATGGCCGTCACAAAATTACGCTGAAAATCTTCGTCGTACAACTGGTTGAAAACAAGACCGATGCGTTCAGCGTAGCCGTAGCTGAAGTATGACCTTGGTGGCGGGCCATTGTGGAGCTTGGTCTCGTCCAGCGGAAACGTAGCGTTTTCAGGAAAAACACATGCGCTAAAAGTAAGATGCAGTTGAGTGACACAATACCTCATAGCAAAGTGTCTTTGACAATACCTGCAACAGGAGACCATTCGCTGAATCTCAAATTCGTTGGCACATTTGGACACGTTTTCGTGGACGTGAACGTTGTGCAGGAAAACGTCGAGGTTGTCTTCGAGTGAGGCGTAGAGACTAGCGACCTTTGAAGCTAGGTGTATGACATGGGTTGGACGAACCTTTTCAAACAGTTCATATGTTTCGTTATAGCTGGACAAATTGGCGTCCTTCGACGAGGCAAATATCCACTTTTCGTGCTGCGATTCGCCACGTTCTCTGTTAACCACGTCAGCTATCGCTCGGCCAATCAGACCGCTTCCACCCGTTACCAATACAACAACGTTTTTCGTCATACTGTTGCTTCGAATTGAACTGAAACAACCAATAAACGTGAAAGCGTCATTTATCAAAGTCAATCCTTGCGAGAAGTAATCATAAAATTTCAACTTTTCGGATTTGTCATCAGCACAATGGTCCCCCCGTGGAGCTTGGAGAATTCATGCACGTTAACCACACGGTTGTTTGAGACTGATGCAAAAACGAAGG